GGAGGTATTATCAGAGTTTGGTTTGGGGATCATGCAGATTGAAGCAGTTAGGGCGTCTTTGAATAAAGCGCCATGGGATCTGAGGGCATTAAAAGATGAAGCCAGGATTGGGGGCAAGAAGGTCGGATAATTTTTTATAATAAAGAGCAGGGAAGCCATCTGGGCCTGGACGTTATAGAGACTATATAGCCAGGAGGACTTCCGAGTCTGAAATCGGTTCTTCCAGTATCAGTTTGATGTCAGCAGGAATCTGCGGGAGGGACAGAGTGGAGAATAGAGTATCTGCAGAATCTTTGGAAAAAGTGTTGTCGGGAGTGTAGAATAGTGCCAATTGCTTACTAAATTTGTCTACAGTTGTGGTCGGGTTGTTGGTAAGGGAGCCCTGAGACGTATGCCAGCGTTGAGGCAGGTTTGTTAGCATGCATATAGAAGTGATGTTTCGTGGTTCATAAAATGGCGCCAGTCTTATATGATAGTAGTAAGTTCAAGTCTCTACGCGTTGCTTCAACTCTGCGATGATTAGCTGGTGTAGGTAGCTTCCAGAATTTTTTGTTTATGTGTACGTTCTTGTTTAATTTTAGACCTATACAATTCCCCCTGATCACCGCTTTGTGGGCTTCCCAGAGCGTTACTGGTGAGACGTCTGACGTGGAGTTATGGGCCAGGTAATCTAGATAGCCGCGCGAATGGAGGATACATGTGTTTTATCTGACAAAAGATATTCATTAAGTGACCATGAACTGGAGGGGGAAGAGGAGATTATAGAAGAGAGGGATAGAATAACCGCAGAATGGTCCGAACAGGAGATAGGCAGGATATAGGCGATTTGTATCAATGAGAGCGAAATTTGGGTGAGGAAAATATGATCAATTCTGGAAAAGGAGCTGTGAGGGGAGGAATTGAAAGTGTAATCACGTGTAGCAGGATGCATTTCTCTCCAGGTGTCTATCAAGGAATATTGGTTTAAGAGAGCGTGAAAGGGTGAGGAGACGGAATTAGTTGGGGGAGCAGGAGATTTGTTAAGAATGGGGGAGAGAGATAGATTTGAATCTCCACATAGGAGGAGCAGGCCTTTTTGATGGTGAGCAATAGTAGAAAGGAGGTGATGAAAGAAAGGTTGGGGGCATAATAGGTCACAATGGTAGCTTCTTGATCATTGAGTCGACCAAGGAGAATTAAATAGCGTCCGGTTGGGTCAGCAATCTCCTTGGTGCATATCAAATTTAATCAGGACTCCTCTCGTTGTGGAGGCCATATATACTTGTGGGAAATTTTTATGAAAGTATTTAGGAGTAGAGGAATAGGAAAAGCGCGTTTCCTGAGAGCAAACAACATCTGCGTGAATGGAGTGGAAGTAATGAAAAGCTTGAGATCTTTTATGAGGGGAGTTAAGGCCCTTAACATTTAGGGTAATTAATTTAATGGAAGGCATCACGGTGGGTAAGGGTAATGCTCAATGCATAATTGAGACATGGGAAATGCGGAGTGGAGTGATAATGGAGGGGCTTCTCGTGAACTTAAGGGAGTAGACCAGGGAAGAGGGAGAGGGTGGAGAGGAGAGAAGAGAGAGCGAGAAAGAGAAAAAATAACATGAGGCAATACAGTAAAATACTAAAGAATCTAATAAAAACAGAAAGAACAGATAACTGCCTGAAGTGGAGAGAGGCAGAATATCTGCATCTCTCTAGCAGGCAGTGGTAAGACCCACAAGGGGGGAAATCCCACCAATGGAGGAGGCAGCAGTGGCAGTCGCCTCAGCACATAGGCTTCAAGTAACGTAAAGTATATGCAACAAATAAACAGTCCCAATATTCAGATGGCAATTAAAGGGGAGACTTCAGAACAGGAAAATATAAAATCAACATCATAACAGGTTCATAGGAGTAATACTCATCAAAATGTAGAGGGGTTCAAATAACCGTATAGGTTTAGGGAGGATGCCATCAAGGAATCAGGCAGGGCAGTTCCTGTAGATGTGTGGATCACAGGGAGTCAGCCAGGGGAGTCCATGTCGACAACTGATGCGAGAGACATCTTTTTACGGACAGCTTTCGTTGGTGAGGTCGTCAGGGTGGAGGATGATTCCGATAGGGATGTTTGTCTGCGACGCTTGGGCTGGGCCGGTGGCTGAGGTTCAGTCTGTGGCAGTAGTTGAAGATCAGCTAGGATGCGGCGAAGGCGACCGTTCTAAGTGAAAAGGAGGCGAATCGGTATACAATCTGATGCTGTTGCAGAATCTGAAGGAGAGACTTGAGCGCCCTGCGTTTGGCAATTGTTGATGGGGCCAAGTCAGCAAAGATCTGATATGTAGTACCCTGGAAGGACAGTGACTGCTGGTTACGTAAGATCTGTTCTTTAGTGCGAAAGAACAAACATTTTGCCACCACATCCCTAGGCGGGCCATCAGGTGTGCGCTTCGATATGGCCCGATGAACTCTTTCCATCTCGAGACGTTCAAGCGGAATGGATGGGGTCAATTCCTGAAGCAGGGCAGTAATGGTCGACTGCAGATCTAAAATGTGCTCAGGGATGCCTCTAAATCTCAGGTTAGACCGCTGTCAGCGGTTTTCCAGATCCTCTATTTTAGAAGACAGAAATTGGTTATCTTCACGGATCTTATCAATGTCCTCTGTATGAGAGCTAATCCTATGGTCAACATCCTCCATGTGGATTTTCAAGTCAGCAGTGCGTTGGCCTAGCTCACGTATTTCCCTAGACAGCTGGCTAGTTATCTGTTTAGATGTGGTTGCCAATGCGTTTTGAAGCATATGATCGATTTTATTCAAAAGATCTGTCTGTGACTCACGTGTGGGAGAGAAGGAGCTGGCATCACTGTCGTCCGCGGCATCACTGTGGAGAGTGGATTGTGAGGCAGCAGGGCCTGGCCGAGTGTGTGAGGCCGGCGCCATCTTGAAAGCTGCTTTAGCCAGGGCTTCCTTGATCGTGGGACCGCAAGGAGGCTGTATCTTGGAGCCGGAGCGGGACGCCATAGTCCCGGTGTGTAAGGACCGCGATCGGATGTAGCAGAGTCTCAGTTAGTACAGGAGGGGCTGTGCTAGAAGCATGTCTGTGCTGAGGTGATGCCGAGCGGGATTAGGACACGTCCGACATCGACCACTGCGCGCATGCGCCTCCTCCTGCCTTTTTATTATACGCTTAATCAACTGGTGAATGTAATCCATACACAATCATTTCGCATTTTGCTGATATTTCACTGTTTGGTGAATGACAACAGCTGAATACCACTCATTTTACTTTTATTCGTCTAAACCTTTATACTTTTCCTTTGACTTTAGACATCCTTCCAAAATTTACGGTAGGGGTCATTGACACAGAACAAACAATGAAGAACTATCCTCTCAGAAAAAAAATAATCCATTCTGTATAGTATTGTAAGTAAAACAGGATCACATTTTTTTAAATTTAAAAATAGTTTTTTCTTTTGTTTAGGTTATTTTCCCTGCAATATGCACATCCAGTAGACTTTTGGGGTTGAAATTTGCAAAGTGTGTGCAAATTAGCTGGTCGAAGGAGTCGGTCAAAAAAGCTGGCTCTGTTTGGGTATTCCGCTACTATCAGAATACAAAAGAAACAGCGGGGAGTCCAGGATCAAGGGGTTTGTAGTGTTGATGGAGGAACCTGCTCTAGTTTTTTCGTTCAGCCCATGGGTTAAACAAAAAAAATTGAGCAGTGCATGGCCAGCTTTAGTGAATGAGGTGAAGCCCTGCTGACTTCCATCATCCAATCATGTGCATGCAAAAATACTGTTTTTCTTTTATTTTCCTTGCATGTCTTTGGGTATTCTTTGCAAAGTGAAATTTTACTACATTCACTAGGTTAATGGGAACTTTCACTGCAAACTTCAAATTCCCTTGCAAAGTTCACAGCCTGTTTTCCTTCAAAAAACCAACCCCTGCATATGAATTTCCTTTAAATGTGTGCAGGCTCTAGACGTGGCATCAGCTTTAATGTGGTAATTCTGGCAGAATGTTTTGGCAAGACTGAATGTAGTACAAATCAGAAGACAGCAGGATAGGGTGGAAACACTGCAGCTGAACTGAACAAAAAGTTGTGTAACCCTAGGAAAGGAAGAGTCTGTGAATGAACCTCTCTGGTGTGATTTAGTTGAAAGCAGAACATTTAAAAAAAATTATCAAGCTTTTTAACATTACAGGAACCTAGGCAGCAGCATATTTGGTTTATGTGTTTGGGTTTAGATATAACATAGCTATACCTGAATCTTAGATGGCCTATCTCTGGATTGTGGGAATATAACATAATTCTGTTTATTGAGGTAACTAAGCATTATACCAATGTGCATTTTCATCTCATTATAAAATGTGCGCATTGCACAAATCCTTGTAAGCTGAAGCAGTGATACATACACAAATAATTGCAGCTTTACTTTAATTATTACATCCCTAAAAGTATTTTTAAATGGAAGCAGTGAGAAACAGCACAATAAGCCAATCAGTTGTGCTGCAGTGCAAGGAACATACTTGTAGGAACAGTGAAGCACAGTGACAGAGGGATGATCTCAATAGTCTGTTGGTTTGCCTTTTGCTGTCCAGTCAAAGACTGGATTAGAAACAAGACCTGTCAGTGTTACCTAACGACAGCAGAGAAAAATCAGGTCTCCTCCCTTGCCAGATAGAGCTATGTAGTAAGGCTGTGGAAATCTCGGAACTTTATTGACAGAAATACCTTGGCAGTTAAAACAGCTACCTTATATTAATTTAATCTATGTGTTTAGCTGTTTGCCCATAGTTCAGTTTTAAGGCATGATTCACCTTGATTGGCATCTATTATCAACATGGCTTGTAAGAATGTCTCCCACAGTCTTTGCTTTCCACCAGCAGCCAATCATATGCTTCCTTTTTTTGTCCCTTACTGTAAGTGGCAATCAATTTAGCTTCAATGGAGCATAAACATATCTAAATCAGTCACATCCCTTTAGGGCATTTTGTAATTCTATTATTAGATTATAATATGCAATTAATATGAAATGTATTATTTTCTTTGCAGGTCGAGAAAAGGGTCGCTGTGTTGCTTCAGAATTTTTCCATGGACCAGATACAGATATTGTGACAGAAAATACTGCAAACATACTGAGTAAGTGCACAGGTCAAAAACAAAATAAATGTCTTTCTTAGCAGAAAAGTTGACGGATATTCACATTATAATGTTTACAAAGTGTGATGTTTCTTACTTGGATATGTAGCACTGTGCTTAGACACCCTATTCAATATTTTAAAAAAATGCATGGCTGAAGGCACACCCCTGACAGTGAGGAAGTCCCAAGGTCCCATGTGTACTGCATGACAGCATTTCTACAAAGCTATGACCCACTGGCATGATCTTAGAATATAATTATCCATTTTAAATGAATTTACACTTTAAGAGGTGTATTTGTTAACAAGATTCATAAAACTTTCACAGGGGGTCTATACATTTCTCCAGTTGTTTGCATCTTTAGTTAAAAATGAATGAATCTCGTGAAAAACATTAATAAATAGACATGTAAGTGTAGTGATAATGAAAAGAAGATGGGATCCTAAAAAGTAGAAGCTATGCCCAATTAGTCATTAATTTGTACATTTCTTTTAACATTATTTCACTTTTTTATATTTCACAACTCCTTTGAGGCTGGGAAAACTTAAACCAGCCTTTTTCAACCATGGTTCTGTGGAACCCTAGGCTTTCTCCAGAGGCTGTTGGCAGGACCTTGAGTATAAAGTATTGGTGGATTGATATCCCACCGGAAGATGCCTGCATAGTTTTGACACCAGTGTCACTCTGCAGAGCCAGCAGCATGGGACCAGTGGAAGTTCTCCTCTTATCTCTCAGGTAAGTAAACACTGACACCAATGATAAACAAAATCCATTCTTTCTAATAATCCCACACTGTAACAAAGCATTCTTTCCAATGGCTACCATCTTTTACTTCTAGTGTAAGGAACATTCTTGCCACTGACCACCAATGTAAGAGGGGCCTTCTCACATTAACCCCAAAGTAAGGAGGGGAGGGCTTTTAATCTCTAGTCCAATGCAGCACCTCTCCCGCTGGGTTCCGATTTAATGTAGCCCTTCCTCTCTCACTACCAGCGCATTGAAAGACAGCTCAGAAAATTTGATATATGCTCCATTGTAGTTCTGTGACATATGAAATTGGAAGATAAGGTTTTTTTGGTATGTAAAGCTGATTTTTTATTACATCCTGTTCCCAGCCAGAATATTGCTTTAAAGCACCATAGTCTGACTTCTACTCTCTCTTCTACCACAGACTTATGCGGCCTCCAGAGTAGTGTATGATGCCAGTCCCCACTCAGTATAAACAAACGTCAGGTACAGAGAGTCTAAATTTTTGAAATGTTAGTGGTGGTGGTGTCTGGTTCATAGGTACAGTTGTTGTTTTTATATGTTGGTGTTATTCTACATGATTATATTTGATCTGTATATCATCACTTGGGCAATATCACAATGGAGTTTTAAACTAGAGTTACTTTGTATGATGAAAGTGAACATCCACCTTCATTTATTATTCAGAAGGGATAGTGAAAGAAGAAGAGGGGGAGGCACATGCCTATATGTCAGGAATGACCTGGCAGTGAAGGTGCGGGATGATATAGCACAGGAGAGAGGGGATAAGAGGCGTAACTAGAACCTTCAGTTCCCCGGTGCAAGAAACTATGAAGGCCCCCTCCCCCCCAACCCTTCACTCCAAACTTACCTTACCTCTCCTGCAGGCCCATGGCCCTCTTCCTCGTCTCGGTGACCAGGGGCGGAGCTAAGAGGAGATTGACCTCTTAGCTCCGCCCCTAAGAGGCGGGGCCAGCAAATTCTCCGAGATCAGTGACAGCCTCCAGCCCTTTTGCACAGCTGCCCGTACATGCTGCCGGTGGCTGTGCGACAGGGACGAAGCGGAACGATCGCGGGGGGCCCTCTACTTCCTTGCTGGGCCCCCCCAAGTGGCGGAACGCCAGGGCATGGTCGCAATTGCGACCGCTGCGAACCTGGTAGTTCCGCCAGTGGGGATAAGGCTGAACTGCTATGAATAGAAATGGAAATGAATGAAAAAAAAGAGAAATTACTGGTGGAGGTATGCTACAGGCCTCCAAACGGGGAGGAAGAGGAGACCCATCTATTGTCACAGATAAAAGTTGCGGGAAGGCAAGGCAATGTCATAATTATGGGGGGCTTTAATTATCCAGATATAGATTGGCTAACGAAAAACAGCTAGCTCAAGAAGGGCCCACTTCTTGAACTCTCTTAGAGATAATTTTATGGGACAATTAGTGGAATCACCCACTAGGAAAGATACTCTGCTGTATTTAATAATTACTAACACTCAGAGCTAATTGCAGATGTGGAAATCGGTGATAACCTAAGGAGCAGTGACCAAAGAATGATAATGTTTACAGTTAATTCCAGGAAACATTGACATGTCGGCACGACACAAACTCTCAATTTTAGGAAGGCTAACTTTAATAAGCTGAGAAACCTACTAGGAGACATAAATTGGGATGCAATCTTCCTGAATACGAACACTGAAGAAAAATGGGGTCGTTTTAAGGAAATCTTAAATACCAAAATTGGCCAGTGCATCCCGTTTACCAATAAATTCAAGAATGCGAAAGTTAGATCAGGGCAGGTAACTAGCAAGGTAAAACAACACATAATTGAAAAGGACAAGGCCTTAACAAAATATAAATCAGAGGGGTCAGCATCGGCATTCAAAAACTACAAGGTTCGCAAGAAAAAATGTAAAAGACCAATCAGAGCTACAAAAATAGAATATGAAGAGCATATAGCAGCAGAAAGCAAACCTGAATCCCAAGAAATTCTTTAAAGATATAAATAGCAAAAGTGTACGGAGAGAACATGTAGGCCCAATAATAGACAAAGAGGGGAGGTTAGCTTTTAGCGACAGGGAGAAAGCAAATGCATTAAACAAATTATTTTCTTCTGTATTTACAGATGAGATGGACATGGGTAACGGCCAGGGCAACAGCTGCAGGAACAATAATAAAAGTTTTGACATATATCAGTGGGTGTCGGGGAGAAGAGTAGTACAGAGGCCAGAAAGATTAAATGTGAACAAATGACCAGGACCTGATGGGTTACATCCGAGGGTACTCAAGGAACTTAGCTAGGTCATCAGCAGACCACTGTACATAATCGTTATGGACACTGTAATGACTGGTACGGTACCTGATGATTGGCGGAGAGCATATGTGGTTGCAATATACAAAAAGGGGAAAATAAATTCACCGGGTAACTGTAGGCCAGTCAGATTAATGTCAATAATGTGCAAAATATTCAAAGGCATGACAAGGGACTACATGCAGTAATTTGCAAATAAAACTGGTATTATAAGTAGAAATCAACATGGCTTCATGAAGGATTGTTATTGTCAAGCCAATCTATTAACATTTTATGAGGAGGTCAGTATTAATTTAGACAGAGGAATGCCAGTAGATGTGGTTTACCAGGACTTTTCTAAAGTGTTCGATACAGTACCCCACAAACGTTTGATTTCCCAAACTTAGGTCTATCGGTTTGGAGAAAATTGTATTTACCTGGGTGGAAAACTGGCTGCAAGAACAGACCCAGAGGGTAATAAAAAATGGGTCATCCTCTAATTGGGCAAAAGTCAGAAGTTGGGTGCCCCAGGGGTCGGTCCTGGGACCAATCTTGTATAACCTATTCATCAACGACATAGAGTTTGGGATAGATAGTTCGATTTCCATTTTTGCCCACAATACTAAACTTTGTAGGGCAGTAAATTCTAAACAGAAGATGTGTGCACTTTAACAAGACCTCGATAAAATTGAAGCATGGGCTATTCATTGGCGTATGCTATTTAACGTTGAAAAATGCAAGGTAATGCACATGGGTGCAAAGAACGAGTGCGCAAACTACTATCTGGGGGGGGGGCTGAATTAGGGAAGACGGACATGGAGAAAGACCTTCGGGGTGCTCATAGATCGCAGATTTGGCAATAGCATGCAATGCCAAGTTGTAGTCAACAAACAGCATACTGTCCTGCATTAAAAGAGGGATTGCAGCAAGGCAGAAAAGAATAACACTACCGCTGTAAAAATCACTAGTTCGGCCTCATGTAGTGTATGCGGTTCAATTTTGGTCACCAACTCTCAGGAAGGACGTACTAGAGCTTGGGAGAGTTCAAAGGACTACAAAATTATTTAAAGGGAGAGAAGGCCTGATATATGAAGACTGCCTCCAACAATTATTCTTAGAAAATAGGCGCTTAAAAGGAGACCTTATTGCAGTCCTCAAAATCATCCAAGGGGACCACAATAATCGTAACATGTTGTTTTCACTGAGAACAGTATTGAGAACACACAAGAAGAGGTTGGACGAGAGGGGGTTTAATCTTAGCACATGTAAGGGGTTTTGTACTGTGCGAGTAGTAAAAATATGGAATTCCCTATCTCAGGCAGTGGTATCCGCTGATAGCATAGATAAGTTTAAAAAATGTCTACAGTATATGAGCTCCTTGAGTCATTAAATATACAAGGACATTGGAAGTATTAAATGCAATCAGCATTGAGCCGGCCAAATAACATGGAGCAGGCTTCCCGGCCAATCAGGTAGCTGGGGGGTGGGTAATGACCGGCGTCCCAGCTTCTTGATTGGCCGGGAGCCGGCTCCATGCTGATTGGCTTGGTTGATTTCCCTTTTATCAATGTGAAACTTTCTCTGCAGCCTCTTTATCCCACACAGGACTGTTACACTGCTGGACGAGTGGAAGTTCTTAAGTTGCAGGTAGCCTCATTGAGAAGTGACAGATTTTAACATCAGCCACCAAGAGACTAGAAGTGAAAAGGGTAGGAAGCTGTGCTTGCAGAGAGGAGGACGCCGGCTCAATGCTGATTGGCTGGGAAGCCGGCTTGCCGGCCAAACAGCATGGAGCCGGCATCCCGGGCAATCAGGAAGCAGGGTGATGGGTAATGGCACGCTGCCCAGCTTCCTGATTGCCCGGGAAGCTGGTAGGTTGAGCTGGTCTTATTTAACCTCACCTATGTTACTATGTTACTTTACTGTGGATTGTAGAACATACAGCATTGGTAAATGGGGTGCACATACAG